GTGATATTTGAGTAACCTATGAACTAGATGTTCATAATGATAAGTGAAGAAATCTATGAACCATGTGTTCATAATGATAAGTGAAGTAATCTATGAATCATGTGTTCATAATGATATGTGAGTAACCTATGAACTTTATGTTCATAATGATTGGTGGAGTAATCTATGAACCATGTGTTCATAATGATAGGTGGAGTAATCTATGAACCATGTGTCCATAATGATATGTGAGTAACCTATGAACTTTATGTTCATAATGATTGGTGGAATAATCTATGAACCATGTGTTCATAATGATAGGTTGAGTAATCTATGAACTACAAATTCATAATGATGTTTAGAGTAGAGTAATCTATGAACAACATGTTCATAATGATAGGACTGGTAGACAACCCGGGTATTCATGTAGTTTGGATAATATTTTTGAATTGAAGAGTAAACGGTTTTGGAGAATTAATTGTGGACAAGTATTTATTGGAATATGAAATCTATATGAATAAGTATTTATAAAATATTTGGTTGAATCTCAAAGGTTGTTTTGAATTGTGAATGCGATTTTAAACATGAATGTCGTATTTTGAGAACTAAATGGACTTTTGAACCTATACGTTAAGTACCAAATCTATTTTCTTCAAACTATATTATTTTACGGGATTGAGTAGGTTTTACTTAGCTAAAAAGCTAACTTTTGTTTCTTTATCTTTGTTTTGTTTTCTGCACTTTATTTGGTGCAGGTGATGAGGATTATGCTTGTTGATCTGATGAGAGCTGCGTTAGATCACGTAGTTTAGTAGTTACAATCACCTAGTTATTATTTATCTTAGTTTTGAGACATGTAGACATTTAAATTGTTTTGAGTTTTAAATCTTTAAGTGCTTGGAATACTTTTGGATTATGTTAAGCCTGTGCATTCGGTTAAGAGATAGCCGAATGTGGCGGCAACACCTATTGAATATTTTGCTTCCGTTGCAGTTGAAACCATTTTGAACCTAAATGTTTTGGAAAATTCTTTCTACACTTGCTATATTAGCATCTATTTCAGGTATAAATTTGGGGGTGTTATAACTGTGACACCCCATCGGACTACGAAGAGGCTGCCCACTCACGCAAAACTGTCAGGCTCAAAGCAATGAGGAGCTTTGCTTGGTCAACTGTGACCCCATCGGTTTTACCTTTTGTAGTATTAATTATCATGTAATAATTAGGTTGTAAGGGAATAAGGCCCAAAAGGCTTTAGGCCCAAACTCCTAGGTTTTCTATTTCAGCGCCTGTATGAGCGCCTATAAATATGCGCGTTGTTGTACAGGTCCGAAGGTCGAATAATCAGCTCAGCAACATTACTCTGTAAAAGTTCTCGATACAAATAGAAAGAAGGATTTCACTTTTCGATATTCTTCCGGTCATTATCTGATCTCTTTCTTCTCTGTTTTATCGATGGACTCCATTTAGCTGTTTGTTAGTCTACAGATTTAAGGGACCAACAACATTATTTAACCATATGTAATATAAACAATAGAAATATATAAAACATTTACCAGGCAACACGTTTGAAACAAGTACTTCACTCCTGGACATATATCTCCATCGCTACTATCAATAATGTAGAACTTCATGTTCTTCAAGTCAAAACACATCATATAGTAGCACCCATTCTGTTCATCTGGGAATATGAATAGGTCTGTTGTCCTCAACTTATTGCCATCTGCATTGGGAAATTTCTTACCAATAGCTGCAACAAACCTTTTGTTCCTTGTTTGTGGAGCGCTCACATGATTTTGATCTAGCACTTGCTGCCATTAAATATTATAGTATATTAGTTTCATTTGAGTAATACTAATTAAATAAATATGTACTTCTTGTACATGATTTTGTTGAGAAAATCAGTCTGCTTTTAGCTTCAGGGCTTTTGAACTTTTCATTATGGTTAAACAACATTGCCCATATATCTATCACTTCAGCATCAACTTTTGTGTTGCTCCTCATTATTTCCATCTGAGCATTCCAAAGAGTTAAGTTGTGATTCTTGAACACCACAACACTGTTTCAAAAGCATTACTAGATCAATATGAGTAAACTTACATATTAAATGTGCATTACTATTAAACGAAATGATTAAGTAAAAATTGTTGTGTACTTACTTCTTGTCACAATGATCATTGAACACAAAACCTGCAAGTAGTCTTTCTTCACTGCCAAATGTTGTCTTTGCATCTATGACTCTATTCATGTATGGGGACTTCAGAGCATGTGTTGGGGCTGTTTCTCTTTTTTCTCTTTCCACTTTGTTCTCTTTTGGGTCAATGTGATCTTGTGCAACTTCCTTACCCTTTCTAGACATTTTGTCTCTTTCTTCTTCACATTCTTCCTTTTCAGGTTCCTCTTCATCCTCATTAACATCCTCAACATTTTCATTATCCTTATTCATTTGCTCACCGCCACCATCCTCTGCATGCTCAATACCATTGCCTGCCTACTCAAATACTTCATTAGTATGCTCATCATCATCCTTATAAGTATTCACCATGTCATTTGACTCCTATGAAAGCAACTTGAAGCTTGGCTTTTCATACTGTGTAAAAGCTGGCCTCTCAACTCTTTTCTTCTGAGTCATTTCAATAGCTTCAACTACTTTGAGCACTTCTTCTGTCCAGAATCCATCATCCGGAGCCAATGACACCTCAGTTTCAATTTCTTTTTCTTTATCCTTTTCTGAGGATGTGTGTTGAAAAGCCCATGGACTTTTCCCATTAAAACCTTCATCGTTTCATCATTAGGTAACACCTTTGCAGCCTCTTGAAACTTTTCATCAAAACTGGCCATGCTTTCTGCCAAATTCTTCGTGGCTGCAACAAATTCCTTCATAATGTCTTGTATTTATTTAATGATTAATGTTAGAACAGTAATTGAGCATTATTTATTTTATTATTGAGTTTAGACTAAAATAATTTCATGTGACATACTTTAGACTCTTATTACAAAATGAACTAAGCATATACGTTTATTACATTTATTTATTTATTCAGTCATTAAAATTTTTATCCATAGTTTTGTAACATTTTTATCTTTCTTTTTCTTTAAGTTCCTGCATGTACTCATTGTTTTGTATTAAATACTCATTTCTAGAAATCCTAATTCTCATTTATATATTTACCCAAATTTCTCTCTTAAAATTACATACTACTGTGCTTACCTTCTTTGGCTCCTGATTGTTGTTTCCTTCAATCTGCCTTGCAACTTCTTGTTCATTTGTGATCAGTTTTGGAACTGTCGGTTCCCCTTTGTTAGGTTCATCTACATATCCGTATCCGAAACCTCCGGTTTCAATTTCTTCTTTATGTCTTTTGTTCAGCTTTTGTGTTGTCCACCCAATAATAGATGTCAATCCTCTTTACACTTTTCTGCCTTTATACACAACGTTGTCAACGTAGAACACCTACATATTTTATAATATGTTACAATGGTGTGCTGCATATAATTATTTGATTAATAATATGATACAATTGAGCAATAACATTATAGAATTTGTAACTTACAATCAGAAACAATAAAGGCCCCGGGAACTGTCTTTCTCTGCTTTTGCTCCAATAGTCCTTTGCTTCAATTAATGTCTCTAATGCGTATCCACACCATTTAAGATTCTTGATTATTGAATCATCCTCCAATGCCTTCAGAATGATTTGATTTGTAAAGCAAATTTGCTTCCCTTCAATCAAACATGTTACCAAGAGAACCAAAAATCTTGAGCAGTCTTCACAACTCCATTTTCACTCTCAAATTGTGATCTCCAATCAGCCACCATGTGTGATGTATTCTCAGCTTCACTATCAATCAAATCCTTCACATTAATGTTTCCTTTTGGAAACCCCAATGTGAAGCGCACTGCATCTTCATTTATCCTTAATCTCTCATTGTTCTGCGGAACAAGAGACACACTTCTGCCATCAAAACTCTCGACTACCCAATATGCCAACTGCATTGGCAATTACTTGACTTCAAGGTGCAGTAAGGGGCCAAATCCCATCTCAACTACCTCTTGCTTCTGTTCTGGACTTAGAGTTTTCATTATTTCAGTTATACTACTCGGAGACATTCTTGTCCACAGCTTTGGGTATTTATCATTCTTTTCCTTCTTTATCTCCCCTTCGTCTTACTGCTGGCATTCCTTGTTTCATGCTTATCTGCGTTTAACATCATTTGATACTCGAATAGTAAGTCCATCGCTTGCTTCGATGCTCAAACACAAACACCTTGCTGCTCGAACTCTTCCTCCGTTCTTCAACTTGTTGTTGCTCTCCAACTCTACCAATAACCCCCGCAATAATTCCACAAAGTTGACAAACGTCTGGAGTTTGTCCTCGTTTTTCGAGCTTAAATACAGCGTCTATGAATGCCAGCGTCGTTTTCCGTTTTTTAGAGTAGAATTTACTTTTCCGTTTTTGTATTGATTTGTTCGCAATCCTTGTTTCAGTTATTAGTGTTACCCGGTAAAATTTTGGGCCAGTTTTGTTATGGATTGTATCTGTTAGTGGACTTCTAATTTAATTGGACATGATGTACATACATCCGGGTGTAGCATATACGAACCGCATAAAATGTGTTGACACAAATTAAGTGTACTAACACTCATTCACAATTATAATATTGTTAGACACATCATATGGTGTCAAAACATCACATTTCCAGTTTTGCAACCAACCAAAATGCTCATGTCCTGAATGACTTTTAGCGACTTTTAGCGTTTAGAATAAGCTTGTTGAGGACCTTGAGGTCATTTGACGATATTTTGCTTAACTGTCAAAATACCTATTTTCTTCGAAATCTACTTAAAATTTTATGTACGGACTATATGACTTCAGATTCGGTTATTTAAGATAAAGATCTTTTCATTTCTTCATCAAATCTCACGGAAGAGCCAACAAGTATCTCATGAAACGGCCTAAAATGTCTCAAATGGCCAATCTTCATTTAGAATGGTTTAAAAGAACTTACAATTACCTAATTGAGTTTAGAGTTAGCTTGTTATAGCTCATTCTGCCAAAAATAAGATTGAACAGCCTGAAGGTGCTTCACTTTTTATTCAAGCATACTGCAAAAAGAACTTCCAAGGTTCACTGTGGTCATTCAAGTTATTTTTTACTATCTGGTTATCTGCAACCACAGGTTTGAACATTTGTTAAGCTGACCACCTGAATGATACAAATGCAACTCCTAGTGCATACCAGAGAAGTAGAGAACCAAATGAATAATAAGGGTTGAACTGCCATTGTACATTATGTAAAAGCCTATTAATGTACAAATTATAGGAGGAAAGTTGTCACTCCTTAACCTTCCAACAAAAAGATCACCGAGGTAACTAGTTCAACCCCCCCCCCCCCCCCCCCCCCCCCCCCGAGGATCAATGAGAGTTTGACCTGGCCATTAGCTTCTGGGTCTGCAGGATTCTTCAGGCCAAAGGTTCTACACACCATTGTTAAAGGAGAGGTTCCCACTGCTTAGGGAGATGGACTTGGTGCTTCCCCAAATATTACTTGGTCGAGAATGTTGCTTTCCTTCTAGCTGATGATCACAGTACATTTATGTAATCTCTTGGTCTTCCCTGGAGATGATTCAGCATAATGTAGTGAGTTACCTGAATACCATGGGATGATACCAAGTATTCAACATATTTAATTTGTAAAATAAAGGTTTGGTAATGAAAATAGATGTGTTTGTGGTTATGCACAGAATGCATAGCATGATTTTTAAATGAACAAAACTACCTTCACGGCATCCTTGAGCGCGCCCCAGCATTCAACATGATTGTATTTCTTTGAACTAGAATGGAAGAAGACTTGAACTGAAGCATCTGTTAGTTGTGGATGCTCTTTGAACAGAGCTGAATCACCATATAAGACGGCCCTAAGTACCTGATCAACGAAGTGAAATCATTCATTTCTGGGATATAGAATAATTACAGTAAGTGACTGCACTTAGCATGATAAAACAGAATGTTGGCTTGTCTGTAATTTTTTTCAAAAGCATAATTCTCCTGACATGTCTGTGTAGCATTAATAGAATGGATCTTTCTTCTAGCATCAGTGAGAACCTCGTTTACATGCATGGTTATCAAACTTTGAATTCATCTTTGTTATCATGCATAAAAGTATATATGAGATGGCTTTACGGCGACCTGATCTGGTGGCACATTATTTAGCAACCATTTTCTCTTTGAAATCTGTGACAATTTCTAATGCAAGAAATGCATCCAGCCAATACTAAAGCAACTAATTTCAATTTTGACAAGCCCTTTATACGGTCCTTCCAGCATAGACCATATAAAAGTCAAATGCCACTAGCGATTTCTAGTGCATGACAACCTTCTAGCAGAACTACATTCAAAATTTGTAGTCACTACAGAAAAGCATATGCTAAAGCTCTCTATCAATCACAGTAATGGAAAATTAGCAATTAATATTAGAAGCAGTCGAACACCATAAAAAAGTACCACAAGATATTTGTTACTGTTTCATGTTTCAATTATGGCAATTGATGAATAATGTAATATACAGATCTCATGCGGTAAAAAGTGGCTCAATTAACAAACTTATTAGTGGCTTTCACTTTACTAGTTACACTTCTAGAACTTGATGTGTTTGATATACTTACCAATGGCAACTCCTTCGAGAATATAAGGTATCTAAACTCTGCAGCCAACTCTTGTAAGAGATTTGGTCCACTCACGAAGCAATGGACATAAAGGCACATATTTCCTTTCACCTCTATCCATTCAGCAATGACATCATCTTTATTATACCACCTGTTTAACTGTCACTGAAAACATCTCAGAAGTTGAATATAAATATGTTAACAGTGCACATACAACATCTCGTCCAAGGTCTCCTAGAAGACGTCTGAAGAAGGATAAGAATTTTGAAGAAGACAGAGCTATGGTGATGGTGGATTAATCATGCCTCACACCTTTGCCAGAGAGGTGATGCCCAACCTTGTCTGAGCCACAAAAAACTAATCCCCCGAAATCATTATATTATTCCAACTAATGACCCTTATATAGCTATTAGAAGAGTCCTAGTAATAAAAGGAATCATAGTCATAAAGATAATACATCTTTGTAACTAAAAACTGGACTAAACTAGAGCAAGGAAACACGCATTAGGATCAAGGTTGTTAAGATCGCGATCTAACTCGCTGAATCGTACGATCTTACGATTAGAAAAGGCAAGGTCGAGTTGGATCGCTGCTGGGATCGGAAAATAGCCTGGGATCGCCGGACCGACGAGTAAACACGTAACTCGTATAAATCGTCGATCTAATCGAGGTGCGATTTCTCAGCTCCAAAAACGAGAAACAAAGGGCGGAATGAGGGACTGAGTCTGGAATGACTAATTTAAAAAAAAACATTGACGCCTTACGATGAAGGAAGCCCAAGAGCCACCTGCGACGTTAAGCTCCACTGCTTCGTCAACTTCAAATCACTGTTCCTCGTCGTTTTCTTCATCCCTTCTCTGTTCTCGCTTTGTTCTCTGTGTCGTTCCCTTCATCCGTTTTCTTTTTAAAAATCGTTCGCTTCTTTAGTAGGTTTGTCTTTAGGTTGTTCTGAGTTCTGACAGCAATAATAAGTCATGGGCTCATTTCAAGTGGGTTATCTCTTCTGAAAATAGTCCCTTCAAATGTTTTGTACTAGTATTTTATACTCCGTATTTATGTTCCAAGTGTTTTATGTTATTGCTTTCAGTCTTGACATTATATTTTTATTAATTACGTAGTAATTATTAATTTTAATAATAATCTAAATTCAGTGTTTACATAGAATTGAATTGTATATATGTCTATATATATATATATATTGCATGGTAGGATCTTACGATCCGAGTTACGATCCCCGAGTTACGATCTCCTAGACCCCGTCCGATCCGTGCTAGGATCTCGAGTTTAACAACCTTGATTAGGATAGAAAATATTAGACATGAGTCGCTAGTCAGCCACGTTTGGCCGACCCCCTACATCTGAGGAGTAAGGGGTAGCCGGTTTCCACTGGTAATTATGGCCCATAAAAGGAGTGATAAAAACCTGGCAATAATCCTGGCATAAGTAATGAACAAGCAACACAAATCTGATAAACAAAGAGGGAAAATGATATTTATTGATAGGAAATGTCTCGACTTAGGCAACAAGGTAACCGCGACTATTAGAGAAGCCCACTCTCCAAGGCAACACCCAAATAAAATAACAGCCTACCTTATTTAGCTATTCCCCGCTTCTATTTATAGTAAATATCCACACAGGGATTAGAAAGGCTACTGCCTTGATACCTATTAATAAACTCCTTATTTCTCCTCTTGTAAACTTTGTTAAAATACTGAATAGGTCCTTTATCCCTATCAATACCCCCCCCCCCCCCCCCCCGCGAAAATTCACCTTGTCCCCAAGGAAATTGCTCTGTTATCGCTTGAAGGGACTCCCATGAATCTTCAAACTGTGGTAGGTCTTTCCAATGCATTAACATCTCCATCTTCCCTTCCTTATTTCTTCTGACATCTGTTAAGACTCAGTTTCATCCTAAAAGATCAACCTAATAGGAGGAGCAGCTCAAAGCTTTATATAGTGTTTAATTGTGTTATAGCTTTCCGGTGTGGGACAAATACTTTAACACGTCCCCTCAGCCCGAACCGGGCAGGACAATATCGGGGTGTATAAATGGGCCAAACAGACCCTTAACAAGCTACCCGTAATCATGGGTGCTAACAAGCAGTCAAACCATAACCGGAATTGGCTCTGATACCATGTTAAGACTCGGGTTCCATCTAAAAGGTCAACCTAATAGGAGGAGTAGCTCAAAGCCTTATATAGTGTTTAATTGTGTTATAGCTTTCCGGTGTGGGACAAATACTTTAACAGCATACAAGACTCTTAAACACCTGCAATTCTCATTCTTCATTCAAGCACTTGGGTAAGGGTTGGTATACAGTTGTAGGTGTGATGGCTTTCTTCAGTAGTGAAATGTGAAAGACTAGATGAACTATGATTTCTTCTGGTAACTTGACTTTAAGAACTACTGAGCTTATCTTCTCAATCACCTCAAATGGGCCATAGTATCTGGGACTGAGTTTCTGAATTAGCCTCTTGGCTATAGTTCTAAGCTTGTAAGGCTGAATTTTCAGATAAACCATGTCACCAATCTCCAACAACACTTCTCTCATGTGCTTGTAAGGCTGAATTTTCAGATAAACCATGTCACCAATCTCCAACAACACTTTTCTCCTGTGTTTGTCAGTCTGTTACTTCATTTGATTTTGGGCCTTCTCCAAATTGTCCTTCAATTCCCTTATCATTTCATTCCTCTTAGCAGTCAATTGGGATACTTCTTCCACAGCTGTCATAGTTACATCCCCTCTGATCACATCAGGTGGGTCCTGTCCATAGAGTGCTTTGTAAGGTGTCATCTTTAGTGAGGTGTGGTAATTGGTGTTATACCAAAACTCAACCCAAGCCAACCGCTGTACCCATTGTCTAGGTTTTCTTCCTATCAAACACCTTAGATAAGTCTTGAGGAACCTGTTAACCACCTCAGTCTGACCATCAGTCTGAGGATGGTAAGCAGTGCTATACTTGAGTTGAGTTCCAGCCATTTTGAAGAGTTCAGACCAAAATCTGCTCAAGAAAATGATGTCTCTATCACTTACTATTGTCTTAGGAAATCCATGCAACCTTACAATTTCCTTGATGAAGATGTCAGCCACTTCCTTGGCATTAAATGGGTGGGAAAGGGCCAGAAAATGGGCATATTTGGTCAGTCTATCCACAATGACCATGATGGTGCCTTTGCCCTATGATTTCGGTAAACCTCCAATAAAATCCATGCTTATGTCAGTCCATATGCTCTGAGGGATGGGAAAAGGTTGTAGTAATTCAGCTGGCTTCAAAGCTTGATACTTGTTGGTATGGCAGATAGCACATTCCTCCACAAATTTCTGTATATCCTTCCTTATACCCAAGGTTGTTAGGATCGTGAGGTAACTCGTAAGATTGAACGAGTTTGCGAACTAAATAGGGGGAATCGCGTCAGATCGCTCCAAAGATCGGAAATTGACCTGGGATCGGCGGATCGTCGAGTAAAATTGTAACTCGTACGATTCTTTGAAGCTCAAAAAAAGGGAAGAAGTCGCAGAACCCATCGTGACTTAGGATGAACGAAACCCAAGCGACACCTGCTGCTACGTTAATCTTCCCTGCTTTTGCGCTTTGAATCAATCTTCCCTGCTTTGTTTTCTTCATCTCTTCTTTGTTCTCTGTTTTTCGTCCGCTTTGTCTCTTCTTTGTTCTCTGTTTTCGTCCGCTTCGTCTATTCTCTATTCTGTCTTTTTGTCCAATTTTAATTTTTTGGGACTGCTTTTTATGGGGTCTTTTGGGACAATTCCTCCTATTGAACTTGTTGTGTCAAAATTGATATTCGTATGTTATTTTGTTATATTATATGTTCTGGAGTTTATCTTTGAAATTCTTGCCAAATGTTATTCATATGTTAACTGTTTTATATAATTATATTATTAAATATAATTTATTTTATATAAGGGAAAGTTCCCGAAATGGGACTAAAAAGGTTCAAAAATTCCAAAATAGGACTGTCATGTTTTTATTCCCAAAATAGGACTAATTACTGCCAAATTTGGAAAATACTGTCATGTTTGAAGTCTGGTACTGCCAAAACATGGCAGTAATTAGTCTTATTTTGGGAATAAAAACATGGAAGTCCTATTTTGGAATTTTCAAACTTTTTTAGTCCCATTTTGGGTAATATCTCTTTATATAATTAAATGTTATTCAGTTTATGTTTTATATAATTATGTTAACTTGTTACATTAACTGTTTTATATAATTATTAATATTAATTGGGAGTATACGTAGAATTGGATTGTATGTCTACATATATATATATATATATATATATATATATATATATATATATATATATATTGCATGATAGGATCTTACGATCCGAGTTACGATCTCCTAGACCCCTTCCGATCCGTGCTAGGATCTTGAGTTTAACAACCTTGCTTATACCATGCCAATATAATAGATTAGAAATTCTTTTCATTGTTCTAAAATATCCTGAATGACCTCCTACTGCTGTGTTATGATACTCATTCAGGATTTTGATCACTCTGGGGGAATCTTTAGGTAGCATCAGTTTCTTCTTGTAGTATAATAAACCCTTAACAATCTGAAATTCAGAGTATTTATCTGGGTGGGAGATAATATTCTGAATTAGGGCCTGGCACTTAGGATCTGCTGTCAGCTCGTCCTCCGGTCCTTCCCACTCTTGGCAAGTGACAACTGATAAGGAATTAAGGACAGGTCTTCTAGATAAGGAATCAGCAGCTCTGTTTTTCACCCCTAGTTTATATTTTATGGTAAAATTATAACCCAGGAGTTTTGAAGACCGCTTTTGTTGTTCTTCTCCCATCAACCTTTGTTCAGTAAGAAACCTTAAACTCTTTTGATCAGTATGTATCACAAAAGTCCTTCCCAATAGATAAGGTCTCCATTTCTGAACAGCTAGTACAATCGCCATCAATTCCCTCTCACAGACAAATCTATTTTGGTTCCTTTTGGACAATTCCTTGCTCATATAGGCAATAGGTCTCCCTCTTGTATCAGAACAGCACCCGGACCAGTTCCTGAGGCATCAGTCTCCACTATAACTCCTTATTGAAATCTGGTATAGCCAAAACTGGTAGGGTAGTCATGATTCTCTTCAGTTCATCAAAGGCTTGGGTAGTTGTAGGTCCCCATTGGAAACAATC